CCAAGACGGCCCCAGAGGGCCCCGAGACGACCCCACGAGAGCACCAAGATGGCCCCAAGATGCTCCCAAGAGGGCCCGAAGAAGCGGTATGGGGACTGGGCTGCTTGGATGTGGGAACTGGGCTGGCTCCAAGGGGCCCAAGAGTCCCAAAACGGCCCTCAAGAGGGGCCCCAACAGGCTCCCAAAAAGCCCCCGAGACGCCAAGGAACACCATGGCTCCCCACAGCGAGCAGTGACGTAACAAGCTCTGAACACCAAGGCTCCCCAGAGCGCGGTGACGTGAAGAGCTCTGAACAGCAAGGCTCATGGGCAGCTGCGGTGCCCTCCCCCTGAAAGGTAACGCCCCCCCCCCCAGTGCGCCCTGGGCACTGCCGCCGTGTGCATCGGGATCCGCATAGGCGTCCGCATAAGAGTCTGGCCCGCAGTCGTCGTCGTCGTCGTCGTCGTCGTCGTCGTCGTCGTCGTCGTCGTCGTCGTCGTCGTGGTCATCGTCATTGTCGCTCGTCGCTCGTCGCTCGTCGTTCGTCGCTCATCGTCGTCGTGCGCGCGGACGCGGCTGGAGCCTGTTTTTGATTCGGGGCCGATGCCGGCCGTCATTTGGGGGGGGAGGGGGCCGATGACGTCGCGTTTCGCGCCGGCTGCGTCTGGGAATGCCTAGGAATGACCGGGGACGGGTAGCAGTAGCATGTAGGTGGCGATTTGCACCACAGCGCCTGTGTACACCACAGTGCTTGCGTGCACCACAGCGCCGGTGTACACAACACCGCCTATGCAACACAGCGCCAGTGTATGCCAAAGTGCTTGCGAGCACCACAGCGCTTGTGTACACCACAGCGCCTGAGTACACCACATCAGCCGTGTGCAACACAGCACCAGTGTACACCACAATGCCTGCGTGCACTACAGCGCCTGTGTGCACCACGGCGCGTGCGTGCTCCGCAGCAGCCGTGAGCAACAAAACACCACCGTTGCATACAGCATTTCAGAAAGAATCCTTATGACAAAAATGGAGCGCCAGTGGATTCCATAGAGGACAACGTTTTTTCTCTAGGAATTGGACTGGAATCCTTATGGAAGATGGAACGCCGCTGGAATCTACAAGTCCTCCCGCATCATCCTATCTCCTCCCATTTGCGTCTAAGAGGTTCCAGCAGAATTGGCCGTCCGAGAGCCACGTGGGTTGATTCAATCGACCATTCGGCGGTCCACGCTGGCTGAGATACGCACGTACGCTGTAGCGCCGACCCGCACGACAGGGGGGAAGGGTTAGCGAGGAGGAGGAGGAGGACGAGGAGGAGGAGGAGGAGGAGGAGGAGGAAGACCGTCGTTGTGCAATTGTGAGCACCGTCGTTGTCTGCACCAAATTCGGAGGAGCTCCTTATAGGGCCACGAAACGTGTGAGGGGTATGCCAAAATTTGTCTGGTGGGCGCATGCGAAAGCAGCCACTTGGGCCGTCGGTGGATTCTCTATGGGGCCATGACGCGCGTGAGAAGAGTGCCGAAATAGGTGCGGTGGGTGCATGCGAACGCAGCCACTGGGGCCGTTGGTGAAGCCCCCTTAATGGGCCGCGAAGCGTGTGACGGGTGTGCCGAAATCGGCACATGCGAACGCAGCCACCGGCGCCTTCGGTGGAGCTCCCTATGGGGCCACGAAGCGCGTGAGGGGTGTGCCGGAATGGGCGTGGTTGACGCATGCGGGCGGTGGCACTGGGGCCTTCGGTGGAGCTCCTTATATGGGGCCAAGAAGCGTGTGAGGGGTGTGACGAAATGGGTGTGGGTGACGCATGCAGGTGGTGGCATTGGCACCTTCGGTGGAGCTCCCTATGGGGCCACGAAGTCCGTGAGGGGTGTGCTGGAATGGGCGTGGGCGGTGGCACCGGGGCCTTCGTTGGAACGTATGGGGCCACGAAGTGTGTGAGAGGTGTGCCGAAATGGGTGTGGGTGACGCACGCGGGCGGTGGCACTGTGGCCTTCGGTGGAGCTCCTTATGGGGCCACGAAGCGTGTGAGGACTGTACCGAAATGTGTGTGGTTGACGACGCATGCGGGCGGTGGCACTGGGGCTTTCGGTGGAGTTCCCTATATGGGGCCACGAAACGTGTGAGGGGTGTGCCGAAATCGGTGTGGTTGACGCATGCGGGCGGTGGCACTGGCGCCTTCGGTGGAGCTCCCTCTGGGGCCACGAAAACGTGTGAGGGGTGTGCCGGAATGGGCGTGGTTGACGCATGCGGGCGGTGGCACTGTAGGGCCTTCGGTGGAGCTCCTTGTGGGGCCACGAAGCGTTGTACTGGGTGGGTGAAGCGCAGGGAGGAACGAGGAGGGGGAGGAGGGAGGAGGGAAAGGAGGAAGGAGGCTGGAGGAGGAGGAGAACGTGGGGCGCCGTCTCTTCAAAACGAGGACCCAACACCACCAGACGGTTGGGAATAATACGTAGAAGAAGATTAGTAATTATAGTGCTAACGCTAGTAATCAGGACAAAACAAAAAAGAGTAGTAGTAATACTAATAAGACTAATGGTACTAATAAAGTTGATAATAAGACTAGGCTGAATAATCATACTACTAATAATATGGAAGTGGCAATAGTACAGAGAAACATCATAAGAGGAATAAGACACGTAATAATAATACGAGCAATCAGAAGCATAACACATCACATAAGAAAACGAAGACTACCATGTGGCGTGGGCCATTGTTCCGCACGGCAGAATTCTGCGCTCGCATGGTGGCAGTGGGCTCATGTTTCATGCTCCCGACGTTTCGTCTTATTCGAAAAAGGCGTTTCAATTCTCCTCCTGGTGCAGCTGCTCCTGCACCGAATCCGTGACACACGCATTTGTCTTAAGAGTGCGGGACCCGGGTTTTTGTGATGGGCCTGGCGGGTTGTGCGAGGAGTGCATGTGATGCAAATAAACTTAATACCGAGAAGATTCTATGGATAAGACTACTAGTAATAATAATATACATACTACGTTTAGAATGAGAATGATCGTACTAAGAACACTTATGAATAATCATATTCAAACTAATATTCATAATCGTAAGACGATCAATAATAAAACAGACAGTAATGATACTAGTAATAATAGTACAATCAAGAAGAATAACACGAATCAGCATGCTAATCTTAGTAAGTATAAAACGAAGAAGACGATTACTGAATCAAAAAATGAAAGTATTAGTAATCAGAGGAGGAGGAGGAGGAGGAGGAGGAGGAGGAGGAGGAGGAGGAGGAGGAGGAGGTGGTGGTGGTGGAGGTGGAGGTGGAGGTGGAGGAAGGGTGAGGAGGAGGAGGAAGGAGGAGGAGGAAGAGGAGGAGGAAAAGGAGGTGGAGGTGGAGGTGGGAGGAGGGAGGAGGGAAGAACGTCGTATTCTATTATCAGCACTTCCCTGGCGTGATGTTTGTCCGCAGCAAATCCTCACCGACATGCTGCTTTTTCGTGTCCTGTGCCCGCAGGCTTTGTGGTGTACACCAGCGTTGCGTTGCACGCGGATGCTGTGGTGTAGGCAGGCGCTGTGGTGTGCACAGGCGCTGCGGTGCACGCAAGCATTCTGGTGTACAGAGGCGCTGTGTTGCATATGGTTGCTGCGGTGTACGGCGTGGTGTGCACCGGCGCTGTGGTACACGCACGCACTGTGGTGTACACCAGCGCTGCGTTGCACACGGCTGTCGCGGTGTACGCAGGCGGTGTGGTGTACACGCGCGCTGTGGTGCACGCGAACATTGTGGTGTACACAGGCGCTGTGGGACAGATCGCCACCTGCATGCTGCTCCTAGTTGGCCCCCGTCATCGCTAGGCATTTCTGGACGCCGCCAGCGCGGAACGTGACGTCATCAGGGGGGGGTGCGGGGCCGATGCCGGCCGCTATATCGGAAAATACAAAAGGGCTCCTGTGGTGCCAGAGCCATATGGCGGGGGAGGGCGTTACGTTATACCCCCCCTCGGCCCCCCCCTTTTAACACCCATGATCGCCGAAAATATAGACACGCGCTCCATAGAACCGATCCGGGTGAGCTGGGCCAAGCGCGCCTCGCACTGCACCCGCAGCGGAGGCCAATGCCACAGCTGAAGTGCACAGAGAAATTGATAGATCCCAGGCCACGGCTCATTCCATGAGTTTACCTGCCGCAGGTCGGCTCGCGCCGGGATCCTGGTCTGCCTGGCGACACTCTGCTTCGCACAGCGGTTGAGGCAGAACAGTGTGAAGTTGTGTGTGGTCGCGCACCCTCCTCCTCTTCCTCCTCCTCCTCCTCCTCCTCCTCCTCCTCCTCCTCCCCCTCCTCCTCCTCCTCCTCCTCCTCCTCCTCAACCTCCTCCTCCTCCTCTTCCTCCTCTTCCTCCTCCGAAAATAAGGAGGGACAACGGAGAAAGCCCACCCTTCATGTCTGGCGGGTGCGTCGGGGGCCGATGTATGGCCGCCGCCCTTGCTCACGTACCCTGTGCCAGACCAGCTTCTTTGCGGGGGTTGGTGTGTAGACACCGCGTCCCCAGGGGATGCCCTTTCTGTGCACAGTTCCTGCTCCGCGGCCTTGTGCCGTACCAGCTTGCTCGGGGCTTCGGGTGTTGCTAGAAGTGCCTCTGGCCCGAGGTGCCCCCAGCTCTTCGTTCCCTTTTGCAGCCCCCCTGGGGCCCTCTTGGGGCTCGCGAGGGGTGCTCCGGAGGCCGTCGGGGCCTCCTTGGGGAATTCCTTGGGGCACCTCGGGCCAGGGGCACTTCTAGCAAACCCTCCTCCTCCTCCTCTTCCTCCTCCTCTTCCTCCTCCTCCTCTTCCTCCTCCTCCTCCTCCCCCCCTCTTCGTCCTCCTCCTTCTCCTCATCTTCTTCCTTCTCCTCCTCTTCCTCCTCCCCCTGCTCCTCCTCCTCCTCCTCCTCCTCCTCCTCCTTCGTCTCTTTTGCTTTCTTTTTTGTGTATAGCCCCCGCTCCGCGACCTTGTGCCAGACAAGCTCGCTTGGGGGTGGTGTACAGACATCGCGCTTGCCGCCGCCCGGCGGGGGCGCCAGGCTGCTGCGCGTGCACAACACGGCGGTGCTCGTCACAGCGTCCATGCGGCAGGCGCCTGCCGCTCTGGCCCTCTCCGCGCGCGCTCGCGTCGTCGTCGTCGTCGTCGTCGTCGTCGTCGTCGTCGTCGTCGCCGTCTTCTTCCTCCTCCTCGTTCTCCTCCTCTTCCTCCTGCTCCTCCTATGCCTCCTTCGCCTCTCCCCGCTCGACCCTTCCCCTGCCCTCGCCTCGCCGGCGCGCCTGCGGGGGAGGGGAGGGCAGGCTCTTCCAAGCCCGAAGCTCAGCCCGCGGAGGAGGAGGAGGAGGAGGAGGACGAGGAGGAGGAGGAGGAGGACGAGGACGAGGAGGACGAGGAGGACGAGGACGAGGAGGACGAGGAGGAGGAGGACCAGTGTAAGCCCAAGACGTATCAAACATGTTCTACTAAATAAGGCCCTCCCTCCAAGTTCCCTGTTCATAGGGCCCTGAGAGTTGCTCTCGTTGCTGGAAAGGGGCTCATGAGATCATCTCCCGAGAATTTTCAATCGTGCCGAAACAGTTCCTGCGATTTCAACGCCGCGTATCAACAGTATTGTTGCGTCATGGCAGTTCTAAATCGTGGTAGAACGCTATTCCTGGGACCTCAGCACGACGAATCGGTGTGAGTACTGCGTCATGACGCTCCTATATCGTACCAGAGCGCCATCCCTCGGACTTCGACCGTACGAATCCTTCAAACGGTTGTACTTTCGAGACGAAGTTGCGCGGCGCTACAGCGAGAGCCACACTCTGCAACCACATTCTGAAAATGCCCCGCCTTCCGTCCGTGAACCTGTTGCAGGTTTTTAAGACGAATGTCCGCGGCGCTGAGGCGAGAACCACAGGTTGAAAAGGACCCGCCTTTCATCCGTGAAGATGCTGCAAACTTTTGGAACGAGTGTGCGCGGCGCTGAGGCGAGAGCCACATGTTGAAAAGGCCCCGCCCTCAGTCCGTGAAGCTAGCGAGGGAGTCTCAGGCGAAACGCCCTGCTCGCCCTATCGACATGTCCTGGGGTGCGACAGGGAGGAGTTATTTTTCAGGAGCAGGGATGGAGGGGGATGAGGAGGGGGAGGGGGAGGGGGAGGGCGAGGGGGGGGATGAGGAGATGGTGCGAGCGAGGGAGAGGAGAGAAGGAGGATGAGGAGGAAGAAAAGGAGGAAGGGGAGGAGGAGTGGGAGGAGGCGGGGAATGATGAGGAGGAGGAGGAGGACGATGAGGAATAGTAGTAGTACTAATGGTAATCGTATTCGTAGTCGTGATGTGTTCATAGTGATAGTAGTCGTCATAGTAACAACCATACCAATAACAATCATACTAATATGCATGAGTGTGATACTACTGTTGTTATTGATCATACTAGTACGAATAACCATATTGATAACAACAACAGTAGTAGTCCTACCAGTAATACTGATGATGCTACTGATAGTATTAACATGACTAATAAGAAGATAAGGGGGAGGAACTTATACGACACATAATCATAAGACGACGAATGTAACGACCACGAACACTTATATTACTAATGATAAATCTAATACTGATACTACTACCAATAATAATACGGATATTATTAGACATAATAATGCCAAGACTACCCAGGATAATAACACATTCACTAATAATAATAATAAGCATGATAATGCGAATCATTAGAATTAATATGAATGGTAGCACCAAACATAATAATAACAGTGGACTTAATTAATCAGACGACTATTATGAATGATAGGGATAATACTAGCACGAATAATTCTGAATTATAGTTCGAAGAAGACACATCATTATAGGAACATCAAGAATAATAAGAAGAGGTAGAGGAGGAGGACTTGGGGCTGAAGGCTGGACTTTTCTGCTCCAGGTCCCCTTCTTGGGCTCCTTTTTGGGCCGTTTTGGGGCTCTCTTAGGCCGTCTTGGGTGCCTCTTGGGTTGTCTTGGGGCTGTCTTGGGCCGTCTTGGGGCCCTCTTGGAGGCTCCGTGGGCCGTCTTGGGGCGGTCTTGTAAGCCTCTTGGGCTGTCTTGGAGCGCCAGTAAGCCGAAGAAGTGAGAACGCCAAAACCATCAGAAACTCAAGGAAAATCACTAATTTCTGCCTCTGTGGGCCCTCTTGGGAGGTCTCTTGAAAGCCTCTTGGGGCGTCTTGAAGGCGCTTTGGGCTGTCTGGAGGCAATCCTTGGCGTCTTGGATCGCTCTTGGACCGTCTCGGACCATGTTGAGCTCTCTTGGAGGCCACTTGAAGGAGCGCTCCTGGAGCGCTCTTGGGAGCCTGCGGGGACCTGGCCGGGACCTGCCCGGGACCTGCCTGGGACCTGCCCGGGATTTTGCCAGGACCTTGCCGGGATTTGCGGGGGTACTTTTCGTCCGGGGACCCCCAGGGGCGGCCCCGCGCGCGCGATTTAGAAATGTTAACCAGTTGTCGGAGATCTTAGCACTCCCTTGGCCCGTTCGGCCGGCGAATAATAATAAGAAGAATAATACGGGTATTGATAATAATAAGCATGTTATTAAGAATAAGGAAGTAATACAAATACTAAGGATGCTAATGCTCATAAGAATAGTAATATCAGTAAATAATAGCAATACTAAGGTGAATAATAATGAGACGAGGACGTGTCATAACAATGATACTCATAATACTATCAATAATCAGAAGAGTAGCAGTAATGCTTGTATGAATAGAAATAAGACTGAGTATGCCAGTCGTATTAATAATAATGAGAATACCAATACTAATACCACTACTGATGAGTCGAATGATAACATATATAAAAAGAGCATCACTACGAATAATAAAGATAATGATGCAACAACTACTAAACATAATAGTAATACTAAGAGGACGACAACTCAACTAATAATAATCATCATTACAATCATACTACTACTACTACTACTACTAAGACAAACAATAGTAATACTGGTAAGAAGAAGTGGAAGAGGAGGAGGAGGAGGAGCACGAGGACGAGGAGGAGGAGGAGGAGGAGGAGGAGGAGGAGGAGGATCGGGGGCCCCCAAACGGTGTGATGACCACGCCGCGTGGTGAGCCAGTGGGGGATTCAGAGGCACCGCGCGGTTTCTGGACTCGGGTCATTCTCCGCGGACATCTCGGGCGACTGGGGCCTCCAGGGGCCCAAAATCGTGCGGTGATGGGCCGCGCGGTGAGGTCGATGGGGATTCTAAGGTCACCACACGGTTTTGGCGGCGGGGGAGAGGGAGAGGGAGGAAGACGGAGGTCAGAGGAGGGCCAGTTGTGACAGCAACAATTATTCGACCTTCGCGGGGCCTCATCGTCGCAACTGCTGGACGCAGCACGGAAAACCAATGCGATTTTGCCCGTGGCGCCCCAAGAGGGGGGGTCAACTCGCCCTTGGAGGAGGGGGCAGAAGAGGAGTCGTTGCGATCGGCGGCATGCGGAAGGTGGGGGAGGGAGGGAGACAGAGGACGGCGGAGGAGGAGGAGGAGGGGGGGGAGGAGGAGGAGAGGAGGAGGAGGAGGAGGAAGGGAGGAGGAGGAGGGGAGAGGGAGGAGGAGGCGAGGAGAGGAGGAGGCGGAGGAGGAGGAGGAGGAGTCGGAGGAGGAGGAGGAGGAGGAGGAGGAGGAGGAGGAGGAGGAGAGGAGGAGGAGGAGGAGGAGGAGGAGGAGAGGGAGGAGGAGGAAGAAGGAGGAGGAGGAGAGGAGAAGGATGAGGAGGCGGCGGCGGTGTGGAGGAGCGGAGGAGCGGGGAGGAGGAGGAGGAGGAGGCGGAGGAGGAGGGAGGAGGAGGAGGAGGAGGAGGAGGAGGAGTAGGAGGGGGAGGAGGAGGAGGTGGAGGGGCCCATAGTTTAGCATTGCGTTGCAGAGTCTCTTGTTCTGCCGGCATTTCGGCGCAGGTGTTCCTCACTGGCTCTGGCCAGTTTTTCGGGCCCTGGGAGGGCGCACACACGTGTGGGTTGGTGAATGAGCATCTGGGAGAACCAGACGGCCCTGAGGGACACGGACCTAAGATCGAATGACCTTCAAACATGTAGGTTCCGCGTGTAATCCTTTCCATATCCTTAGGGCCCCATCCCTCAGGACCCCATTTTTGAACCGCCGACGGAAGGCGGAGTGGGCGCTGGGTCGTTACGATCCGTGGCGCGCCGAGGGGGAGGTGATCGGGGGCAGGCCTTCTCAGAAGTTGGTGGGGCTTCTCGGACGCCCCGCGGTCCATGTCAGACGCCCCACTGGGCTCCCCCGGCGGCGCCTCCGGCGCCGCCTCTGGCGCTCTCCGCGCGCCAGGGAGGGGGGTCCAGCGCGGATCCAAGAAATCCGCACGGAGCGCCAAACATTTGTGTTGATTCGGCGGCGAGCCGGGAGGGGAAGTGAGAAGGGGTGGGCCTTCTCAGAAGGCTCGGAAATCCCCCGGCCTTCTGAGACGTTTCCTGAGCCTTTCCCGAAGACACGGAGCATTTCTCAAAGGCGCGAGGGCTTCTGAGAAGTCCCGCCGCCTTCTGAAAAGGCCTTTTTCTCCTCCTCCTTCTCCTCCTCCTCCTCCTCCTCTTCCTCCCCCTTCTCCTCCTCCATCCTCCTCGTCCTCCTCCTCCTCCATCCTCCTCCTCCTCCTCCTTCTCCTAAGGATGCCGTCTCGAGCCCCGAGTGACGCCCGTCGCCTCTGGCCATGCTTTTCCACTGTGCTCCTCTCCCCTTCCCTCCCTTCTGCCGCCGCTCGGGCTCGGGGGCGGGCCGTCGTGGTGGAGCCCTCGGCTCCACCCCGGTCGGCCGGACAAGCACCACCACTACACCTTAGGCGATGCTTAAGAAAACTTAAGTTTTCGGCCAGAGTCTCGATTATTCTTAACGTTTCAATGTAAATCTTAAGATTTTTTTTTCTAGAAATGTGGGGTTTTCATTCAAGTTCTGAGACTATGAATTTCTTAACCCATGATTTCTTAAGCATTTCGCAGGGTGTAGTTTCAAGTCGGGCATGTCCCTCTACAGGAGGAGTGCTCGAAAGCAGTCGAACAGTAGCCAGGGGACTTTTTTTTGTTCCTTGCCGTGCTTGGCTATGTCGGATTCTGTTCTGACTATTGTTTCCCCTTCCAGAGTCCGCCCGCAGGAGGTCATGCCCGACCTGACACTAGTTCAGTCTCATCGTACGCTGGCTCAGAGGCCACTCACCTCTGAGCTCACAATCGAGATTATCCGGGGGGGCAACGTTGGGGGTTGATGGGCTCAGGGTGGATGCGTCCACCCCGCTTCTCCCACTGATGGCCGATAGGGGTCTGATAGCCCATCCCGCCCCAGGACCACGCGGATTCGCTATCGGATCGGGGGCCTGTCGCCGATCCGTCCGCGAAGTCTTGCCGATTCCAGGTCGATTGTTTTCCTCCCTGAACTGGTCCCCCCTTGACGTTGAAGTTCACGTGGTCAAGGCTGCTGTGGCGCGCTGCCAGCAGCGTCATATGGAGACTGGTCTCACGGGGGAGCAGGTTTGGTTTAACGGCTGCCATGCAAATCTGCAGAATCCTGTTCCTAATTTCTCATCCGCCTCATCCCTCATTCTTCGATCCCCTCCCTTCACTCTCACACTCCTGCAGCGTTGGCCAGACCAACTGCGGATGGTGGTAGTTGGGAATGTGGAGGGGGTGAGCAGGTTGACGAGGAGAAAGACCTAGTGTTTTGTGTCGTAACGGCAGCTGCCGTTCGACGATCATTGCGCGCAGCGCGGTGCACCTTGGACTCGACCAGCGAAGCAGTGTTCCTCTCGACTTGAGCTCGGAGCTAGGTTGAGGAATCTCCGTCGATGACGTCTTCCAACGCGTCGTGAATGTAAACGTGCGATGCTCGCTCTTTTCCCCAGCCCTCCGTTGCCATGCCGTGGATAGTTGCGGTTTCCCGCAAGGGTCTTGTCAGGCCCAGCCGATGACCTTCGACCCGGCCGCAGCAGCTGCCCGCGTTTTTTGGGGCACCTTCCTTTGGCGGTGCTGTTCTGCGGACAGCGCTGTCCACGTGGCGTGGCGTGGGTTTCTCGCGGTCGAGTTGCGGCAGGGGTGGGGGCGCGAAGCGGAGCGTGCACCGATCAGAGCGCGCACCCTGTGTGGGCCTGCGCCGCCTCTTGCCTCCCGGCGAAGGCAGGGTGGTGCTCGTGAGTCGCCAGTGTGCATGCAGGCTCTGTGGGCTGTCCGAGTTGTCCCGAGGAGGAAGACGGGAAGGTTGAGGTGGGAGGGGATGGTGGGGTTGATGGTGGGGATGATGATGGTGATGATGGTGCTGATGGTGATTCTGGTGATGATGAGGCTGATGATGATGATGATGATGATGATGATGATGATGATGCTGATTCTGATTATCTATACGACCACCCTTCGGGTGATAAGGCGGTTCGGGGGGGGAACCAACGTCTCACTCGAGCGGTCTAACTATCGATCTCAGTATCGATCTCACTATCGGTCTCGCTCGATCGATCTCACTCGATCGATCTCACAATCGATCTCACTCGATCTATCTCATTCGATCTATCTCACAATTGATCTCACAATCGATCTCACAATCGATCACACAATCGATCTCGTATTCGGTCTCAATATCAATCTCACTATCGATATCACAATCGCTCTCACAATCAACGTCATCATCATCATCATCACCATCATCATCATCATCATCATCAACATCATCAACATCAACATCATCACCAATATCGTCATCATCATGAGGGCACCGTCATCATCATCATCGTCATCATTATCATCATTACAAACATCATCATCAACGTCAGCATCACCATCGGGACTTCATCATCATCATCATCATCAAATTCATTATCTCATCATCAACATCATCATCATCGGGACACAGTCATCGTCATCATCATCAGCAGCATCATCATAATCATCATCATAATCGGGACACCATCATGATCACCATCGTTCTCATCATCAATATTTTCATCAACATCGTCATCATCCTCGGGACACTATCATCATCATGATCATCGCATCATCATCATCATCGACATCATCATCATCATCATCAACAACATCATCATCATTGGGGCACCATCATCATCATGAGCAACATCATCATCAACATTGTCATTATCATTATTATCATCATCGGGACACCATCAGCATCACCATCAGCATCATCACCATCATCATCATCAGCATCATCATCGGGACACCATAATCATCATCAACATCATCATCATCAACATCATTATCGCCAGGACACCATTTCCATCAACATCATCATCACCAACATCATCGGAATCATCATCATCATCATCATCATCATCATCATCATCATCATCGGGACACCATCATCGTCATCATCATCAACATAATCATCATGAGCATCATCATCCTCATCATCGGGACACTATCATCATCATCGACACCATCATCAACATCATCATCTTCATCGGGATCATCATCATCATCATCATCATCATCATCATCATCATCATCATCATCATCATCATCATCATCATCATCATCATCATCATCCTCGCGGGACACCGCGGGACACCGGCGGGACACCGCGGGACACCGCGGGACACCGCGGGACACCGCGGGACACCGGCGGGACACCGCGGGCCCCCGGCCGCCCGGAAGGGAGTCATTTGGTCCGGCCGCGCCTCAGCCACACGGGACACCAGCGGGACACCGGCGGGACACCGCGGGCCACCGGCCGCCCGGAAGGGAGACATTTGGTCCGGCCGCGCCTCAGCCACAGGAGACTTTCTCTCGCCCGCCCACGCAGCTTCGCCTCGCCCGCACGGCACGCACGAACACGAAACCGAAATCGATTTCCCGGTAGGGGGGCTCTCCGTTCCACTTCGATCTCACCCCCCAACCTCCGACAATTCTAATCATGGTGGTGGCGGTGGTGATGTTGCTGATGAGGATGATCACGATCATGATCATGATCATGATCATGATCATGATCATGATGCTGCTGTCGTTGCGGCTGATGGTGGTGCTGCTGATAATGATTACACTTGCTGCTGCAGCTACTGCTGATGATGATTATGATGATGATGATGATGATGATGATCATGGTGATGGTGCTGGTGAGGATGATGATGATGATGATGATGATGATGATGATGATGCTGACGATACTGATACTGATGACGATGATGATTCTGATGATGCTGATGATGATGATTGTCAGGGTTTGGTTATGATGTCGATGATAATGCTGATGTGGGCGGCGTGAGCTCTGATGATGATGCCAGTGACGAGGATGGTGGTGATGATAGTCATGGTGGTCTTGATGCTGGTGGTGACGAGGATGGTGACGATGAGGATGCCGATGTTTATGCAGACGGAGATGATGATGGTGAGGGCGGGTGAGGATTTTTAATGGTTTGGATGATGATGATGGTGATGATCATGATGATGACGATGCTGCTGCTGATGACGATGCTGATGATGATGATGATGATGATGATGATGATGATAATGATGACGATGCTGATGATGATGATGATGACGATGGCGATGATGACGATGATGATGATGATGATGATGATGATGATGTTTATGTTGATGCTGATGGTGGTGATGATGATGCTGATGCTGATGATGCTGGTGATAATGCTGAGGTTGATCATGAAACTGATGATGCTGCTGATGCGGAGGATAAGGATGATGCTGATGATGATGCTGCTGAAGGTGATGATGATGGTGGTGGTGGTGATGATTATGCTCAGGATGAGGATGATGATGATGCTGCTGATGATTATGATGATGATGATGCAGAAGAAGAATTATAAGAAGACGAATAATAAAACCATTAATAATAATAATCAGAATAATAAGAATAGTACTAATACGATTAATTATACTAATAATAATATGAAGAATAATGCTAATCATAAGAAACATAAGACTACTACTAATATAATGGTCACAATAATAGTAATACTAAGAAGAATAATAATAGGAATAAGAAGAATAATACTACTAGTAATATTAAGAAGAAGATTATTAACAATAATACTGATAAGACTAGCAATAATAGTAATAGTAATACTAATAAGAATTAATACGAACGATAGTATTATTGATAATACTAATAGTACGAATAATAAGAATAATAATACCAAGAAAAATAATAATATTATGAAGAAGAAGAAGAATAAGAATAATAATTAGAATAATAATAATAAGAAGAAGAAGAAGAATAATAAGAAGAATAATAAGAGGAGGAGGAGGAGGAGGAGGAGGAGGAGGAGAAGGAAGAGGAGGAGGAGGAGGTGGAGGTGCAGGAGGAGGAGAAGGAGGAGGAGAGGGATGAGGAGGAGGAGGAGGAGGAGGAGGAGGAGGAGGAGGAGGAGGAGGAGGAGGAGGAGGGAGCCCAGGCGTGCCGCGCTGGGGCCTCCTCCCTGTTGCGCCCGCAGGTGTTCGGCGGCGTCTCCATTGCCCCGCTTATGGCCGTGATGCTGAAGCAGGTGGCGCCGTCCCCCCGTCACCTTCGCCGCGTCCTCGTCGCCGTTCTCCTACCCTCTCCCTCCTTCTGCTTCTCCTGGCCGCCGCGTCCCCCCTCCGCGCTCCTGAGGCCCTGGAGTGACCGTCCGAGGCTCCCGTACCTTCCCTTTTCTCCCGCGCTCTTCGTCCTGCCTCCTCGTCCTGTCCTCCTCGTCCTGTCCGACCCTTCCCCTCCTCCCCCCTTCCTCCCTCTTGTCGCTCTTCCTCCCATCTGTCCTCCTTCCCCCTCTTTCCCCTCTTCCTTCCTCCTTCCTCGTCGTGCTCCTCCTCCGCCTTCCACCCGAGCGCTAGTCTACCAACTGTTCCTCAATCTTCTCGCTTTCCCGCTGCCGTTTGGCTCCGGGCACGGCAGGTTGCAACCCGTCGTGCCCGTGTTGGTCTCGTGTTAACACCCGTGTTCACATTGGGAGAACACCGCTTTAGCAGTCGTCCGTTGTCATCGCTAGTAGTGAAACGCAGCTCCGAGCCACCCTTCTTGCCGCCATGGCCTCCATGGCACCTCCGCTAGTTTCTTGCTCGCCTTCCTCGACCTCGTTATCTCCACCGCGTTCGGGAAGGATGATCCAGCTCTCCGTGCTTTCCGTGTTCATTATTTTCGTGTCCGTTGAGTCGAACAACAAGGACACCGACCACTATAAAGACATCATCGAGAACCTTGAAGGACCGCGGCGCCACCCCGCCGCTGGCCTGCTTCTCTCCCAGGACGTGCTTTAACTGTGCCAGGGAGGCTCTCGGAACCCCTGATTTTGTCTTCGGCAGAGAACCAGGAACCACCATCGTTCACGTCAGCGGCTATGTCCCGAGCTCCTCGCAACTATGTTGCGTGAGCCCTGGGATATGTTAGGCATGTCTGTTGTTATTTGTCCAAGGGACAGTGGGACAGATCTGGGGCTGCGTGTCTTCGTTTGTGCATGACGTATCGCCGTGCCCGCCGATTCCCGTCAGACTTGCAGGACGGGCCCCGATGCGCATTCCTCGACTATCGCGCGGTTGGCGGTGCCTAGTACAGTGACGACGCGACGTACGCAGGGTGCGCTCGCAATTATGTTGTGGGATGTGTCCCGAGTGCGGTGACAGCCGCAACGACGCGAAATCAGATAACGCCTGAGACGCTGACGACGAGGAGCACACTCGGGGCCGAGGCCCGCGATAGCTCCGAGGCTCATAGTCGGAGCGACGCCGTCGGTCGGCCTCGGGCTTTCCAGCGCCTCCTTGACTGATGGAGGGGCTTCCATTCCGGATGTTAGGCCATCGTTGTTGGCATGCTTGCCCTGGCCAGTTGCCTCGCGTGCGTGGGCGCAGGTTGCGGCGTCGGCAGCGTGCGGCGCCTCCGCGCCTGGGGCCCGAGCAGCAATCTCGGTGTCCCTTTCAACGCTGGGCGCTGGAGGTGATGATTAGTTCAGCGGCGACCTCGGACCTTGGCGAGTTTCGTCCGGCGGCCCGCGACTCATCTCGTCTTGCGGGCATGGCTCGGGATTTCGTGGGCGATTTGCACGGAGGCACCACCGACGGCAATTCAGTGCCACCGCTGACCTCCTTGCTGCGTTGTTCGGCCGAACGTTGGGGCCGACTTGGCGAGGTGGAGCGCGCCTCGGCAGTCTCAGTGCATGTGAACTTCAACCGGCTGCCGCAGGGGCGCATAGGTAGATGCTTCGCAAGTTTTGGCATCTTCCGCAAACGCTCCCAGCAAGCTGACCAGCTCATGACCGGCCACGAGGGTCTCAGCCTCCTCTTGCGCGCGGTAGGAGCGTCGAACGCGCGGCTGGCCATGATCTTGAAGCGCTACTGTGTGGCCTGCGCGACCAGCGCAGCGCAGATCGCGCGCGCGTCGGGTCAACTGCGTCGCCGTTGTCATCTGATCGAAGGTTTGCCCGGCAATCTCGCCTCGGCGTCTCATCCGGCCCCGCGGCGAACCTTCCTTGCGGGCGCGCCCGTGCAAGATCGGGCTCAGCGTGTCCATGGCGCCGCGGCCGGGTCGACCCGGGGCGGCCTGGGCCCGCCGTGCCCGCCGGCGCCGGCGCCGCCAACGCAGGAGGCAATACTGGCAAGTACCATCGACTCAGGCCCCGACGCAGACGCCATCAGCTCATTCGGCGAAAGAGAAATTGCCGCCAACAACCGTGAGCTTCGCGATGTTCTTGTGGAGTAGCGTGGGGCGCGCTGGTTCTGGGCGCGCTGTGCGGGCGCGCCAAATCGCGACGGCGGCGGCTCAGCGACCGCGAGCCCGCGCGCGGCGCCCGGAGGGCCGTTCCGTGGAATGGCATGGACCGCGGCGAATGTCACCGAGCATTCCGGGCCGACTCGCCCGATAATGACCTCCGAGGGGCATCCGCGGGCTTCGGGAAGGGCGAGGGTAAGGGGTTCGGGCCGCCCCGGCAAACTTATGGGCCCCGACGGGGCGCGAGAGTACGACTCAGAGGAACGCCTCGCGCGCGACCGCGCCCGGCGCCCCAGCCTTGGGCGCCTTCTTTGCTTTGGCGCCTGCGCCCCGTCGCCGCGGGCGCCGTCGCCCCTTGCGACCTTGGGTGGCATGGGCCGCTGGGCCTGGCTGAGCAGCGGCATCTAACGAGCGCGCGCGCGGTCTGTCTGCGGGCCCTGGCGCGAGTGATCCCGCGCAAAGTGCCGACCCCTGGGGCGGCGAACGGCTTGCGCCGACATTCGGGCTGAACGAGGCCCCGAGCGAGACTGAAATTTGCCCGGTTCTGGATCGCGTTTTTCTGCTCGATGTCGTTTTCGCGCGCGGTTTCGCTGGCGTTGCGGGGTGCTCTCCGCGATGCCGCGGCGCGCGTTCGGGCCTGTTGTAGCGACGGCCGCGCTGAAGCGCCAAATGAACGCGCGGGGGTCTCCGGCGCAAGTTGCGCATCTAACGGTCGTTTGCCGAGGTCGCGCAAGGGTTTGTTCGGGGCGCGGCGGGCCTGCGAAGTAAACGTTGGATTGGGAGGCCGCGCGGCGTTTCGAGCGACCGCGCGGCTCAGCATATTCTTTGCTCCGATCGGGCTCTCTCGCCCCCGGTGTTCCTTCTGCGCGCTTGCGTTCTCCTCCTCGTTGTTGCCCCCCCCCTTCCGCCGCCGCGCGTGCCGGCGTCTGCGCGGGTGCGGCGCGCGCGGGACGCCTCGATGTCGTCGTCGCTTTCGCCCCTTTTGCGTTGAGTTTTAGGGAATGACGCGCCCCTGGAGTGCATTGCGAGGTGGCCCCGCAAGCGGCGTTGCCAGCGCGGCGGTGACGCGCGTTGGTGGGGTGCATCGAAGTGGCGGTCGTCGTCGTCGTCTTCGACGTCGTGACCGTCGCCTTCGCCGTCGTCGTCGCCGTCGTCGCCGTCGCCCCCCTCTCCGCGCCCGAGCATCGGGGCGAATGAGCCCCGGCGCCCCCCAGTACGATTGCGCGCGCGTGTGTTCTGCTCCTTCGTGAGTAGGAGGGAAAGGAAAGCCTGCTCGCCGAATTGTTTTTTTGGGCATCTCTGCCTGGCGAGAGGGGGCCCACGCGTTTTGGGGCCGCCCTCCTGGTCGGGGCGAGCTTGCGCGCGCGCGTCGGGGCCCCGCGCCCGGCAGCCCGCCCCGGCTCGCAGCGTCGAGCTTGCCATGTGGCCCCCCCGCGCGTCCGCGGGGCAAGCGCGCCCTCGTCTGTGCTCCACCGCGACCCTGGGGTGCTTTGGGGGTGCTTGCGGGGGCCGAAGAGGAGGAGGAGGAGGAGGAGGAGGAGGAGGAAGGAGAGGAGGATGAGGAGGAGGGGGGGAGGAGGAGGAGGAGGAGGAGGAGGAGGAGGAGGAGGAGGAGGAGGAGGAGGAGGAGGAGGAGGGAGGAGGAGGATGGAGGAGGGGAGGAGGGAGGAGGAGGAGGAGAGGAGGAGGAGGAGGAGGAGGAAGGAGGAGGAGGAGGAGGAGGAGGAGGAGGAGGAGGAGGAGGAGGAGGAGGAGGAGGAGGAGGAGGAGGAGGAGGAGGAGGAGGAGGAGGAGGAGGAGGAGGAGGAGGAGGAGGAGGAGGGAACCATCGACGAACAATGTACGCGCGGACCGAACGCCCCAATCGGGGCTGTCGCCGCGGGCTGCCGCGGCCTCGTGGGCCGTGGCCCTGGAATAAAAGGGGACTTTCGAATGGCTGCTGCTGCGACTACCTCCACTGCCACCTCCTCACAGCGACGCCCGTTTTTATGATTGGTCTGGTTGTCATGATTCTTGGTATTCTCTTCTTCTTCTCCTCCTTCTTCTTATTCTTATTCTTCTTACTTCTATCACTATGCTGTACTTCTGCAACATGTGATCCGCAAGTGCTTCGCCCTCAGCCGCTGGCCCCCTCAGTGCTTCCGGCATAATGGGACGTGCAGGGTCCATGTTGGGATGCCCGGGCGCCGTCGCGAATCAGCTTCGAAACCTCGTGCGAACACTATTGATGATAAATCTGCGAGATAAGTTGATATTCAGATGATAGCGTTGAACTCTGCGCTGCCTTTTGCGAATTCCCCCCCGTGCTGCGCATCGGCTGCCAACTGAGGGCGTTTGTGGGCTGCCTGAGGCTAAGTCGGGCAACATCGCGCGGCAAGGGCGGTCTAGGGATTCTTCGGAGTACGTTGCGAGAGAACGTGGCTTCGCGGGCGCGAGCGTGGAGTAATTTTCAAGCGATCGTGGCCTCGGGGGCGCGACCATTGCGTACTTTTCAAGGGCTCGTGGCCTCGGAGACGCGAGTATAGTAGTTCACGAAAGATCGTGGCGTCGGGGGCGCGAGCGCAGCGCAATTTGCCAAGGACGTGGCCTTGAGGGCGCGAACCTGTGCAATTTTCAAATGTGTGGGGCGTCGGAAACGCGAGTGTTGCGCAAGTTACGAGGGATTGTTGCCTCGGCAGCACGAATCTGGTGCAATTTGGAAAAGGGTTGTATGTAGCCTCGGCAGCGCGAGTGTAATGCACATTAATAGGGATCGTGGCTTCGGCAGCGCGAGTATGGTGTAATTTGGAAGGGATTGTGGCCTCGGCAACCCTAGTCTGGTGCACACTGCAAGGGATTGTTGCCTTGGCATGGCGATGATGATGCAATGTGCGGGGGATTGTGGCTTCGGCATCGCGAAATTTATGTAATATGCAGGGGGTCGTGGCTTCGGCAGCGCGAGTATGGAGCAACTTGCATGGGATTGTGGTTTCGGCAGCGCGAATATGCTGCAATTTGCAAGGGGTTGTGGCTTTGGCAGCGCGAGTATGGAGGAACTTGCAAGGGATTGTTGCCTGGAGAGCGCGAGCATGGTGCAATTTGCAAGGGATTGTTGTTTCGGCAGCACGAGCATGATATACTTTGGAAGGGGTTGTGGCTGCGGCAGCGCGAGTATAGCGTCAATTGCAAGGGGTTGTGGTTTCGGCGACGCGGATTTGGTGCACATTGCATGGGGTTGTTGCGATGTGGCTTCGGCAGCGCGTGCATGGTGCAATTTGCCAAATATTGTTGTTTCGGCACCGCGAACGTGGAACAATTTGCAAGGGATTCTGGCTTCGGCAGCGAGAGCATGGCGCAATTTGCAAGGGATCGTGGCCTCAGCGGCGCGAGT